ATGCAGTTTTTAAAGGCCTTAAAGAGAATAATTTTGTAACACCTTAACAAGTACCCGACCCGGATACGAGTCCGAGGTGTCACATCGACTTTTCCAAAACCTTTACTTGCACAAAATAGCAAGACATTTGAACTTATTTTAAGAAAATAAGATCATATATTGTTCAATTGTGTTTGGTATAAAATTTTGAAAACAAAACGTATTTATGAACAGTATCCCAAATGTTAAAATTTCCAGATTACAAATAGGGAACAAATACCATTTACATATATATACGTTTAAAATATTCTAAAACTCGATCAGAGCGTATCCAATACAAATCCTTTATTTATTACATGCCAACTGAATTCTTTCTCATAAAATACATATAATTCGATCTACATTTCTGATCTGATCTTTGGTAAGGAGAACTGACCTGTCTTGTTACTCTTTGTTTCTCCTTTCGCTTTTTCATACCTACGTGTGAAACAATCACACGCTAAGTCGATGACTTAGTGAGGCATATAAACATATAATGGAAACTTATCTTCTAACAGTGCATAATCATTAAACATCATCATATCAAACAAAATCATATTCCTTTGCATGTAATAAACACACTCATGCACATATACCATCCTACAATACCATACATTTTACCAATCAATACATACTTCATCATATAAATCATATCACGTTTCATATCATTAAAAGTATATACATAACATTCATTGTTATTTCTTTATTTCGCCCATGTACACTATTGAGAACAGAGGTATGTGAGTACATTGAGGTTGTGCACTAATGCTGTCACCACAGCTAGTATAAATTCCCTCATGGGGCACCGAACATTTGTTCAGTATTCGTCCCGAAGGACTGCTATATATGTCCCGCAGGACCATTACGTCCCGAAGGACTATAATACCCTCGACTCTTGGCATGCCAACTACACCTATAGCTCTCATATCATATAACATGGGCATTATCATTTATAACATTTCATATCACTTGTTCTTTCTCTTCTGTCACATACCACATGTATGTGTAACCATATATCTCATATCATATCACATGTATCATCAGTACATATATTCACGTAGATCGTTTCATAAGGCTCATATCATCTTTCATTTCACATATTCATATAGGCACGTAGTTCACTTACACGTAAAACATTTTCCTATGATTCACATTCACATGTCACATAGTTTACATCTTATTCTTATGTCTTATCATAGACATATATTCATATGTTCACATCACTTGTATCATATAACCATGTAAAATCATAACTCATTCTCATATGGTTTGTATATGATTCTTGTTATATAACTCATATCACACATAAGTCATATTATGTAGCATATATCAAATATTCTTGTAATCACATAGATCGTATCATTTTTTCATGCATCATATAAACACGTATCATATTTGTTCACATATGTTCATATATATATATATATATATATATATATATATATATATATATATATCACATAGCACCTAGGATAACATATGACTTATACATGTATCCATATACATACTTTCATATAATTCGATTATCAATGTCCAATAACTTCTCACAGTTTTACATAATCACTTATTTCACATTAAATATATATATTCTAATTTCATATATTTACTTAATTCAATTTCACATATCTTATTACCTATATATATATATTCTCATAACTTATCATCACATAGTTTCCATAGCATTTTCCTATAGCTTCATAAGTATTTACCATATGACTCATATATTATATGTTCATTTAATCTCATAATTTTTCCCCATATAACTTATCTTACATGTTCGTATAGTCACTTCTGTCAATGTCTCCTAGTTTATATACTATTCTCATATTGTACTATAGATCAATGTTATTTAACTTATCTCACTTTTCATCTAATCGCATAAGTTGGTTATACCAATATATATATATATATCTTACTCGTGTAATTTATATCCTTTCTCTTGTTATCATATAAATCCTTGCTATTTTATATAGTTCGTGATTCTATAGTCACTTATAATAGCATGTGTCTATCTTATCTCATATCATATAGTTCTTTAACTTATGTCTTATATCACATATTTATATTATACAACTTATATAATCACATCCACTACTTAAACCAGTTCACATAGCTCTTCACACTAATATATGTTCACTCAATTCATGTTACATATGCAATAAGTATAACACATGTACCCATTCTCATGTACTAATGCAAACATAAGAATCACAATTCAAATAACATTTTAGGAGTCACTTCTTACCATAGTAACTCCATTATTGGCTCATCGCAAGCCAATGTTCGTTCAATAATATAAGTACAATTAAAATTGCACTCACCTTAGCCTTGCTTTGATTCAATCTCATTCCTTTGATTATTCCGAAAACTTGTTTAGGCTCAATATCTACATAAATATAACATTTCAAAACAACCATCAAAAGCCTAAACCTTAAACTTGATGTTAATAACTTAAGCTAGTTTTACGAACCATAATTTCATTTTCTATTTAGGGGGCAGGGGGAATCGATACCCCCTGAACATACTGGAATTTTTCGTTCAAGGGGGGAATCGATGCCCCTTTATAGGGTATCAGTTCCCTATGCCCAGAAATTGTATTTCAAGCCCGAAAATCATTAATTCTTCAATCAATTCTTCTATTTTAAATCCCTATCATGCCATTAAACTCAACTATCATCACTTAAACCAACTTATATCCATAAAAACCATCTTTAATCTCAAAATCCTATCCCTCATATGAATTTCAATAATCATACCAAATTTTCATCATGTTCTAATTTCAATTCTATCACTTCATATTCTTTAATTAGCATGATGACAAGTCAAATTTAACTTCAAATTCAACTTATCAACTCTTTTCCATGATTTCATATAAAAACTCATTTTCTTTAATCTCTTACAACTTCTTCATACTTTGATTATAAGACAACTTAAGCTTTCCTTAAGCTTAGTTATCATCTAATAATCAAAACTCAACCTTTAATTCAACAAATAATCAACAAAATAGAAAACCCTTACCTTTGCATAGCTTCCACAGGATAAAGAAGATAAAGAAGGAATAAGAGTTTGTAGATAACTCTTCCCCACCCCACGATAATCATTCATATAATTGGGGAAAAATATCTTTCATGCTAAATGATCATTTTGCCCTTTAATTCTTTGGATAATTACTATAAACTTTTAGGAAATATTTCCAATTAAATCATTAAACTATTCAACTTTTCCACTTTAATCAACAAATTCCAAATTCCTTATAATTTAGTCACCAACCCGTAGTTTTGGGATATTACAAATTTATTCGAAGATACCTATAGGATTTAGGGTTTCTGTAATTGGTGAATCAAAAAAATTATAAAGCTTCGTACAATGAAATAGGGTTTCTCCCCTTTAAGGGGCATTAGGATGGGGGAATGTGGAATTCTCATAGGAATGGAATCCACATTCCCCCGTTTGGTTAGCCAGTAATCTCATTCCTGGTAATATAAGATTATCAATAGTAAATTTTTTTGGATATATTACCGGAAATGTCATTACCTCCATTTCCTTAGGTATTGTTAGATTACCAGCATTTTGGACTAAAATACCCTTAATTTTTTTCTTTCAAAAATATCCTTCTTTTGTCATTTAATAATAAAAATTCTACGAATGTTAAATTACAAATTTATCTTTAAACTATTTTAGATTTACAAAAAAAAAGTCTATAATTAAAATTTTATATGAAGTTCAGGGGTTAAAATAAAATTTTACCCTTTCATTAAACCTTTTTATATTTTTAATTTTGTAAAAAAAATTATATAAATTTTATGAATTTAATTTTTTTTAAAGAAAATATAAAAATATTTTCCAACTTGTTAAAAAAATAAATATATAACAAGGACAATTTGGTCAAATATACATTCCAATAATCTTTCATTCCTTTAACCAAACACGGTAATCTTACATTCTTGCAAAATCAACCAAGTACAAAATACAACATTCCCAGTAATCTTATTCTCTCGTAATCTTACATTACGTGCGTTTGGTTCACGAAATGTAAGATTACCAGTAGAAATGTAAGATTACCATAGAATAGGATTACTGAGAATGTTATATTTTGTGTTTGGTTAGTTTAGCAGGAATGTAAGATTATCGTATTTGGTTAAAGGAATAAAAGATTATTGGAATGTATATTTGGTTTAGCAGGAATGTAAGATTATCGTGTTTGGTTAAAGGAATAAAAGATTATTGGAATGTCTATTTGATCAAATTGTCCTTATTATATATATTTGTTTTTTAACAAATTGAAAAATATTTATATATTTTCTTTAAAAATTTTAAATTCATAAAATTTATATATATTTTTTTACAAAATTTAAAATATAAAAAGGTTTAATGAAAGGGTAAAATTTTATTTTAACTCCTGAACTTCATATAAAATTTTAATTATAGATTTTTTTTATAAATCTAAAATATTTTAAAGATAAATTTGTAATTTAACATTCGTAGAATTTTTATTATTCAATGACAGAATGATATTTTTGGAAAAAAAATCTAAGGACATTTTAGTCCAAAACACCGGTAATCCAACAATACCCAAGGAAATTGATGTAATGACATTCCCGATAATATATCCCAAAAAATTCACTACTGGTAATCTTATATTACCGGGAATGAGATTCCCAACTATCAAAACGGAAGAATGTGGATTTCATTCCCATAAGAATCCCCATTCCCCCATCCAAACGTCTTAGTGCATATAAAGGCTGCAAAATACAATCCTTTCTGATGAATATTGGTTCAGGAAAATTACTTTCTTTTAACTACCATTTTAATTTCATGAGAATAAATGGGGTTTCTTTTGTTATTCATTTAAAACTGGATTGTCAATAATTCATTCAAGTATGCAAAAAGATGGTCATATCATCTCGAAAACACAATGGTCATATCCAGTTCAAACATGAATACTAGTAAAATAAATGTCGTCTAAAAGCAAAATATAAAGACTAGAAACAATAAACTACTTTTTTCCTCTACAAGACTCGTTAATGGAATCCTAAAAAATCACACAATAAAATGCATTGTTGGTTTAGATTCTACCAAAAGGGCATATGACATATACAAGAATTAAAGGTGAAAAAGGAAACCAAACATATTCGGGCAAGTTTTATATGCCACCGGCGGTAGTAGCCGCACTGTTCACAATCCAAGGAAGGTCAAAATAGCCGGAAAAATCATCAGACCAAGAATCTCCGGAGACCATTTCAGCAATTCTTTCTAAACCCTCGAAGAAATCATCGCTCACTGCCGTGTCAGACATCCCAAACTCATCTTCCCCTTCATCTTCAACCAAACCCTCCCTGCTGTCCACCTTCGTACTTTGAACCACAACCCCTTCATCCACGGATGTCCCCGGAGACGAACTGTCAACGGGTTTAGTGGGGGAATGTTTGTTGGAGTCAGCAGCGGCGACCGTTTGAGGAGTGAAAGGCTTCTGGCGGGTGCTGCCAGCGAGTGAATTCCGGTGCGTCGGAGCAGGGTTGTGTTCACCCGTGTACGTGACTATGAACGTATCCGGGTTGGATCTGTGTCGTTCCACTTGTTTCCGGGCCGAACACCCCTTTGAGCTGCTACATCTGTAATAGCCCCTGTTATTCAAAGAAAACAAACAACCAAACGCATTAATTGAATATCCAAACAAAAACCAAACTTTATTACATAATCAAATTAATCAGCATGCAAAGAGACAAAACCACATGATTTACCTTGGATAAGGAGATCCTTTGATGGGTTTTTGACCATATTTTCTCCATGCCCACACATCTGAAGATAAACCCTCTGCCGGCACTTGGCAAACTCTTTTAAGCTGATTCTTTCTGTTCAAGGGGGAAATTAACAAAAAAACTCAACTTTTGAGCTGGTTAATTGAAAACAACTAGTTTTAATGCCGAAATATACCTTCTTTTAGACCGAGAATTATGAGAACTGGGAGTCCTACAAGTGCTACTAGCTGTCGTAGCAGAGCCAGACTGCTTAGGCTTGAGTTGATGTTCTTGCTGTTGTTTTCTCGGTGAAGGAAGAGGCTGAGATTTGGGGAAGAAAGGCTTGTAAAGTTCATGCAATTCCTCCATATTATTTTCGGCTTCAAACTGATTCGGAAAAGACAAGAACTGGCCCTGAAAAGGCTCTTGAGTAGCAAACGATGGAAAATTGGATTGAGGGTACAAATCAGCCATGAAAGAGCTGTTCGCAACATCACCGCTTCTGCTGGTTGTCGTAACGGTGGCGCAGCCTCTCACCACCGCATATAAATCCCAATCAACATCCATGGCAGCTTGTACCTTTTTCAGCAGGCTCCTGCGGCAAGATAGAGAAGAAATGGAAGACAAACAAGACGCTGACTTTAGATGGTTGGGAAGACAGAAAGATGGGGTTGTATTGGAGTGGGCTTTTGCGATTATCTATATAAAGAACAATGGGAAAATAAAATAAATTAAAGAAAAAAAAGGTTAAGAGAGAGAGAGAGAAAGGTGGGATTGTTGGTTGACAAATTGGGCATAACAGAGCCTTATCGTTTCTGATTTGTTCTATCTATAAGCTTTGTGATTCCGTCATTGAAAACCGGTGTGGTTTTAGGGGTTGACATTTGCAAATGTCAAAAGGGAGAAAAAGTCCACACGGTATGCTCTTCCTATTTATTTAATTGTTTTATCTCTTCTAGGTGGAGGCTCGTGAATTACCGACAAAAGAGATTTCTCAAAAACAAAAGTGGATGCCAGTTAATTTGGGTGCCCCCACAATAAGCTGGGTCCTGCTCCTAAGACGTGTCGACGAGGCTTACAACTCACCCATAGTTATGAAATCAGCAGGAATAACTATCTTGATCAAATATAAATAATAATAAAATAAAACTTAATATTTAAATATTATATTATTTATTTTAAATTAAATGCCGTAATTTATTTTGTTTAAATCGTATCGATGAGAACGAATAATTTATGACAGTTATAGATAAGTTATCTTTTTTAAATTTAGGTAGTTATAATCGGTGAAAACGATATTAAGGGTATTAATATTCTTTGTCTCCACGAGAAGACATGAGAGAAATGAATACAAGTGAGATTATTCCATCTCTTCTTTCGATTTTATGGATAGATTTTATAATAGATTTTATAGTTTATGATAGACAAATGATCATCATGACTATTTATAAACTAACATACTAAGTAAATATAGTCATTTGATAATAGATATGATTTAATATGTCATGTAGACATATACGAAGACTCTTTTTCTGGATATGTTTCTTCATAATCCAAATTGAGTAATTATAGAGATTCTCTAGAAATTATGAGACAAATATAATATATGGTGGACTTTTAGTGGATGTATAATAAATCTTATTTTAATTTATTTAATTTTAAAATTAGCAAAAAAAATATTTAACCTTAAAATTAATAATAACCAAAACACATTTAGTTTAATTAATTTCAAACTAAAAAGAGCCAATAAATGTGATTCCATCTTATATATTGTTTAATAACGTAATAAAAAGGTCTAATAAAGATAGTGTTCAAACTATATTTTTTTCATTTATGTGCATAAATTTTGGTTAATTAAGTTATCTAACATTCAAACATTATTATTTCAAATGTCTTGACTGTAACGATTGTTAAAAAAATTATTAACTCACATTTATATAATTTTAAAATTTTCATTTAAAATAAATAAAAATATATTTTTTGAAAAAAATCCAACCCTACGTTTCCCTCCCTCTACAACTTTCGTCTCCCTCCATTCCTCTCATTCACTGGAAATTCTTCCTTCTTCCTATGCAAATTCTCCTCCCATACTGATACTCCCTATCCTTCCCTTTCCCCTCTCCTTTCTAAATGAACGAGATTAAATCTTAACATAAAATCCATCTAAACAGGTTTAGTATTTGTTGGGATTTACGACCTAACAGTTTGGTCTCGCACCAGTGGGGGATGAGTTCTATCAACGATGGGTGGGTGTTTATCGCAATGACAAATAGAGACAGTCGGCGTGAATATAACGATTGGAATTAAGGTTTTTAAAATTTTAGAGTATTTTTAAGATTTGAAAAAAATTGAGTTTTTTTTATAAAAAAATATTATTTTTATTTTTTATTTTAAATAATAATTTTAAAATTATATAAATGTGATATATGTCACCTAACAATTTTTTAAAAGTCATCACGACTAAAACACTTAAAATAAAAAAATTAATAACGTTAGACACCTATATTATGATGAAAAAACTTTAGACATCTAAATTATCTATAGTTTAATTATTATTTATCAATAAAAAAAAGAAAGGAAATGTTGACTGTATTTAATGAGCATACATTGAATATTTACTCTATCGTGTAAACTCTTGAATATAGAATCAAGTCAAATGCCTAATGGCCGTTGCTGCATTTATTTGTCTATTTTCACCGTATTGTATTGCATTTCTTGCACAGTGGAAAGCGGACAGCATTTGACACTAGGATGGTAAACGGGTACAGTTTCGTTGATTCCGCATCGCATTCGCTTCAATTGGAGCGAGGATGGGTATAATTTTAGAGGGTAGTGGGCGGTTATGGATTTATAAAGTGGTATCCGTCGTGGGTGGTGGGCGGGTAATGGGTTTGAGACATTACCCGCCCCGCATCCGCCCACCCAGCTAAATATCTATTAAATTTTGGACAATTATGAATTTAGGTGTAATTTTAGATATTAATTTATACATTTTAATATTGTATAATATATAACATATAATTTATCCAAATATTAAGGATATTTAGTCTTTAATCTGGTCTTTAATTAGGGAAATATTTGGTTCTTTGATTAAACCCATAATCCCACTAACCACGTCACTTTCCATGTTCTTTAGTCCATGCTGCTCATCCAAATACAAATTAGTCGTACTATAAGCTTTAACATCAAAAGCAGCAGTTTTCTTGTTCTTTAGCCCCTCAAAACCCATATTAGGCGCACTATGAGCATTAACATCGAAAACAACACAACAATCCAGCTCTGCGACTACATGCTCCTTACAATATGTCTCCATAATATTCGTAGAGCTACTCCTCTGACAAATTGAAGCATGTGCTGCTACCCATCACGAACTGTCTGGGAACCAACTCCAGCATCCCATTAGTTTGTTGTCAGGCGGGTCTAGATGGGTATGTCGCAAGTGGGTAGTCGGTGTGAGGATGGATTTGAAAATGTACCCGCGTGGGCGAGTGTGGATTTGAAAATTTGTACCCATCATGGGTGGTGGGAGGGTGGTGGATTGAAAAATATTAGGTGGGTATGGGGATGGGGAGGAGATATCCACACCCGACCCGCCCGTTTGCCATCCCTATTTGACACTCTCGTGACTGGCTTGTGTAGGGTTTGTCGAATAATTTATATTATACTAGTTTTAAACTGATTTAATTTTTATAAAATATATTTTTTAAATTTTAGATTCGAACTGATTTTGTAAATAAAATAATTAATGTCAAGTTGAGTTAAATTTAAAATAAAAAAAACTGCAATCTATCTCAATTTGAATATTTACACAAATATAACTATAGATTTTAATTTTAATAATAAAAAATGAATATTTTTAATATAAACATTTTAATGAATAAAATGAATATTAATTAATAGAAATAAGATTATCATTATTTTAAATCTCATTATTCCATTCCCTCCGTAGTTCCGACAGGCGATTAGAGGATAGTCGCGTGTTCATAGAAAGTAGCGAGTTTCATAGCGTACTCGAAATGGTTGTGAGTTAAGCAGTCATCTCCATCGACGGTTGCTGTGACTTCTCCAGTTCATACATGAAATCCGGGTTAGAGCGTGGCGGTGGAAGTAGAACATAATAGGTGGTGGAGTTTGTTGGCGGTCCAACTTTTTCCTTTAGTTTACCGTTACAATGGGCATCGAGTGGCTCAGTGCGTATGGTTTTCTTCTCTCTATTTTTCATTTCTACGGAATCCAATGATGGAGAATCCGACGATAGATGAATCGGTGATTTGATGACTCACCTTTCCTTACTTTAATATTTTGATGAATAAATTATATGTTTAATACTTTAATTATAATTTTTGGTTATGTTTTAGTTATTTAATTATTTTTATTTTAAAATTATATTTAATGTTATCTTTTAATTTTATTTTGATCATTTATCTTTATAAATTTAACAATAATATTATCGTGTTATTATAAAATAATATTACATCATTATTAATATTTAAAAAAATATCAAATCAATAACTTTATCAATCTTTTAACATATAAGAATAGGGTAAGTTAATTTTTTAAATTATTTTATTCTGAACCAGCAGTTTAGGAGAATGTGCGCGGCTGACACAGCAATAATAGGGCGCTTGCAGTGTTTATTTCATTAGACCGACGTGGATGGCACCATGGCATTGATTTGCAACCGTGTGGGGTTGCGTCAAGTTCAATATTCAACTCCATTAATTATAAAATAATACAAAATTTAAAATATCTTACTAAATCAATTTAAATAATTATTTAAATTCAATATAATGACAGTAAATTACAAATTACTCACTAAATTTATTCTCTCTTATTTTACTCACTATACTTCATTTTTTAATTTAATCATTGAAGTTTGACATTACTCTTGTTTAGATCACTCCACCATTAAATAATTAACGGTGTTATAACATGGCACACGACATCAAAATGACGTTTTTAAAAAATTAAATTTCTATCAAAATGACATCACTTTGCATCTATATAAATTCAAATTCCCTTTTTTTTCTTCTCTTCTTCTTCTTCTTCTTCTTCTTCTTCTTCTTCTTCTTCTTCTTCTTCTTCTTCTTCTTCTTCTTCCTCCTCCTCTAATTTACTCTCAACCTGTTCAAACTTCGATCACCGTTAGTCACGATTTATTACCACGCTAATCACCATCGGTTGTTGTTGACAATGTGGCCAATCAATCCTAAAATTTCCCATCAAACTCGTTGTGTCATCTTGAACTCAAATATGATATCCATTTAACCTAAAAATCCCTTAAACTTGATGGATTTAGCATTGAATACTTCAATTTTTTGTTCTTTGGTCTCTGTTGTTCGTCGTTGAACCGCCATAATCCAACTGCAAGCTTACTCGTCGCATCCATTGACGCACCTTTCTTCCTTCTTTTCCGAGCAACAACTGTTCTATTGGACTCTTCTAAGCCCTATCTGATCCTATGTTGTTGCAATTGCAGCACTAATGGTTTCCAATTTGGTGAGAGCTGTCATTCCCTACGCTATGTTATTGGAGGTTAAAATGCCAATAAATAACGGGACAAAAGGAGTATAACTTACCATTTTAATATTGCCATATAAGTAGAGTTATCATAATTATTCTCAAACATAAATATTTAATAAATATAAATTATATAAAATGCACTCACGTTTACTACATTGTCAAAATAACTTAAAAGTTTAAATGTAAGTGTTTTATCTTATCCTTGAACTAGTTTTTATCCCGGTTTTGTTTCAATTCTTTAAAACTCACAGCATCCT